CCGGGGGGGCAAGCCCCCTCCCCAGCCGCTTGCCCCGCGGCTCCGGGGCTGGGCTTGTCGCTCGCCCCGTGAATTGCAGCTGCTGCCGGCACGCGCGCGCCGCTGCAGAACAATAATTACTATTAATGAAGCGTGCAGGCTCTGGCAGGTGTCAGGAGGAGCAGCTCCGAGCCCGCCATCTGGAAGCACGCAGCCAGATGATGGAGCGCTGGCGCATTCGCACGTGCGAGGCGGCTGCAGCGCCCGGGGAGCACCCACCCTCTGTGCCTGGGGAGCAGCGCGGCCTCCATCACCCTCGGCTGTTTAATTCACCAAAACCAGCAGCATCCCACAGCTCCTGTGAACTCTTAATTCCGTTAATTCAAGCAACTTGTTTAACTTCAGGATCTCTGTCCTGCCTTGCTCTGTTTTAAATGAACTTTTAGGAAAGATGAGGCATCCTGCCCCCTGCTCTGTCTCCATTTTCATCCTCCTCCGGCCGTTCTGCACGTTGTGAAATGGCCTGAAACTCCCTGCAGCACAGGGCGAAGGCTGCTGGGGCAAAGAGGAACGCGGAGCAACGCCTGGCAGCTGCTGCCTCAGAGACTGGCTGCTTTCAGTGCTGCTGGTGTAAAATACCACGACAGGGACCTTAGAAATGGGATATGGATGGGATTACATTCCTGTATGTGGACGGAATAGAGCAAATGCAATATATATAGGTGGAATGAATAGAGTAAATCTGTTAGGAAGATAGCAGAGGGGGAGCTTGTGAGCAGCTCTGAATAAGGAACGAAATTCAGCTGTGATCTAATTGCAGAAAATCCAGGAATAGGAATAAGTGGAAAATGTCAAACATTCGTCACACTTTAATTTACCGTGTGTAGTTATGCTCAGAGAGCGAAAGAGCCGCAGCCTGGGCTTGGTGGCAGGCACAGAGCTCCGTGCTGCTCCCACTGCAGCGTCACAGCGACTGCCCAGACCTGGGCTGCCCTGACCACGGGACCGCTCCAGCCAGCGGGTTTAGCAGGATGAATCACCCCCTTATCAGACGCTGATAAGGGAAGAGAACTGTATTCTTCCTACCTCCCTTCTGCATCTAAGAGGAAAAATATTTCAAAGCTGGACTGATATCGCACCGCCCAGTGCATCGAGGGGCAAGAGATGGAATGGTGAAGAAGCAGGAGCTGGAGCAGAACTTCGACACCCGAGGCTCCTCTGCCTCCCGGTGCCTCCTTGCTGCACTCAGAGGGGAGGAGAGCTGAGCTCCGCGCGTGCTTTGATGCCACGCTGCTTCAAATTGCTTTGCAAAGCCCAATCTTTGTTGCAAATTCCAGGCTGCATATACCCTCTGAACGCAGTTGTTTCAGAGCAAAAGCTCTTTCCTGGCTTTAAAAGGTATCTCGGGCGATTACAAAAATAGCACAACCCGTTCAGTCCTTCATGTCTGCTCAATAAAAGCCATTCCAGACCTGTTACACCTTTTATGCCGTAACATCTCCTGCTTCCCTACTTCCAACTGGTATTCAAAGTACTGGGCCCTGATAGTTCCCTTCTTTCACTGTTTGATTTTTTTTTTAAGCCTTGTGTATTTGAACACACTCCCTAGAGTGAGTCCTTTGAAAAGTAATCCACATAAAAGCAAAGCACTTTTTAAATGGCAGAACAAAACACTCATAAAAGTTCATAAATAGCTTGCTATTTAAATCTCATAAAAGCAGCCTAGTTAATTACTTCAGTTCGAATGTTTCCTGTAAATTGTGCACTGTACCCAAGGTCAGCAATAAAGGGAGAGGGTTTTTCTGCAAATACTACAAAAAAACCCCACTGATTTCTTCACATGCAAGATGTCTGGATAATTCGCCTCAAAACCAGCTAGCTTTAAGGGTGTAGCTGTCACAGTTCTGACAGTGAAACCTAATCCTTTATATATATATGTATATAATGTACGTCTGCATATATAAAATGGGTCCTTTCTCTCTCCTTGTTTCCTCTTCCCTCCTTCTCCGTCCCCCTCTCCCGCCTCAGGCTCCGAGCTGATGCCCAAAGCACTGTCTACACGGATCATTGGTGGCATATGGTGGTTCTTCACCCTAATTATCATCTCGTCCTACACGGCCAACCTTGCCGCCTTCCTGACGGTAGAGAGGATGGAATCCCCCATCGACTCGGCAGATGACTTGGCAAAGCAGACAAAAATAGAGTACGGGGCAGTGAAGGATGGAGCTACTATGACCTTCTTCAAGGTGAGAGCAGGCTTTCTACCTCCCAGGCAAGGATGCACAGCTCTCAGGCCAACAGGAGGGAGAACAAACACCAAAGACAAAAAGTCTCCTAAGCCATCGCTGCTTCTCCTTTGAAGCAGGTCGTCTCAGTCTCGCGTCCTTGTCAGGACTTTGGCCCCTGTCAGCTTAGCTTACCCAGATTCACATCACGACTAATTTCTCCTCTCCCCGTTCCTAACTGAAGTCACAATTACGAAATTATATTGATTTTACAGTTTCAGAGCCTGTACTCAGTATTGGCTCGGATGCCTTAAACCAAAGACACAACAGAGCACGTGTGGCTCATATTAAAGCCCTACAGAAAAATCTCCCATTCCCCGAAATCCCTGCCCTATTTCCACATCTGCCCCTTTGCAGTTCCTTCCTTGTCCCTGCAAGAGCAGCCCTCGGGGCTGACCCAACCAGGTGGACAGATGTTGCAAAGTGCCCTCCCTGACTGGCATTTTTTACAGCCGAAATATCTTTCTTGTCCTTCAGCCATTCACATTAATGCAGTCGAGCTTTATTAACCTCTGAAACTCTGTGCAAGGCAGCACCACCAACGCATCAGAACCAAATGACATTAATTTTTTCTCTTTAAAGCTTAATTTCAGAAGTTAGCCAACACTGCAGAGGAGGGTGCTAAGAACATTCGTGCTTCTCTATCGCCTCAAAAATGGAAAGAAACTGAGAGACTGAAAAAGACCTTTAAAACCACAGCTGGCCTTTAAAAACACACTTTAAGAAAGAGAAAAAAAGGGTGAGAGACTAAAGGAATAGAGATGAGGGATTGATCACCCTGGCTTGGAGAGGAATTTAAATTCAAGGATGAACTCAGAAAGTCATCTCCCAGGGAAAGGTGTGGCGTTATCCAGGCACTGGCCCCATTCCCCGGGGAGCACCGATGGGAGCTCGAGCCCGGCCACAGGGCTCGGCCGATGCTGATGCTCTCCTGGGGAACATTCCTTCCCCCTCTGGTCACCCTAATTCAGAAGGAAATACACGGGGCAAAGTGTGACAAACATAGCTCACGCTTTAGAAAACCAGGTTGTGCCGGGAACACGGCAGTAATGTGAGGAGGCACAGCGAGACGAGGCTGTCAGCAGTTTAATTGCCAAGATCCATTAACAGAAGCCAACGTGCTGAATTTTAATAACAAGAAACAGAAACATTCTTCTGCAATGTTTCTTGGCTAGGACTTGGTTAAGGACTCACTCTAAATCTCCTTTCTTCCTTTGCCAGGCAGGAGCAGAGATTGGTAAAGAAACACGGTAGGACCTGGTTGGATCTTTAGCTCATCCTGGGAAATGAAAATGTTGTGCAGAAGAGCAGGCTGCTGGTGGTTCGTTTGCTTTCCGCAGCGGTGCTGGTGCAGTTTTGTCTCTGGCGTGGTCAGATGCGTTGCGCCACCCTCCAAAGGCAATATAAACCTAGAGCAGCTCTCAGGAAATGGCAGACTTTTACTGTTGCGTTTTAACTACTCTTTCCAATGAGAGTTTTATATGGGAATAAAAGGAAACTGTCTGTTTTAAAAATCATCAAGGACACCTTATATTTATCGTTTCATATCATTATCCATCAGAATCATTTATCAGGCTTCTAGCAGGCATTTAACAGGGTTTATCGATGCAGCATGTTTTCCTTTTTCTTTTTTATTATTGTTGTTGTTTGGAGATGAATTCTCTGGGATGTCCCTTCCGAAAAGTGTTTTGATTGATGGAGCAGTGGCCATTATGGTCCTGAGTTGGACCTGACCTGTGTGTGCAGCTCTCCTGGCCCCAGGGAGGTCTGACAAAGCGGGACCGGGGCTGCAGGAGGAGACACAACCCAGGGAGCTCAGGGAGCGATGGGCAACAGGAGGAAGAGTAAGGCAAATGCTTTG